GAAATTTCACATTCCATAGCATTTTGTAAACAGTAAATTGTAAGTTTCTTACTGGTAAATGGTAATTGTGTAAAGCATAAGCATATCATTTAAATTGTATTTATTTTGGGAAATGCCGAAATGGTGTGCAAAGCATCCGTAGAATGTTAGCTTTCATCGTGCAATTGTGAGTTGCTTGCTGGGATTCTAGGGAAATGAAAATGTAAGCTTTCATTGTGCAATTGCCAATTGAGAATTTTGCAATTAAACAAAGAAGATTATTTGTGTCTGGTAAGTAAACATTAAAACAAAGCTAATTTATTGGTAATTAAACAAAGCTATTTTGTGTGCAATTGTGCTTGATGGATTTGATGATTATCAATTTATGTTTACGGGATATTGAAGCATTTTGATTTTTATGTTTTTAGATTTAATATGGAAGAACATCGATCTTTTTTCAAGAAATGAAGAAACTTGTTATATTTATTTTCAAAGAGTAACAAATTTGAGGGTAATTCAATTCCTACGGTGCCCATTCCTCCCAACTTTCTTTTGTTGCTGATTGTTTAACATTAAACATTGAACGAGAATTTAGCATGAATTTAAATCTAGATTCTATTATAGATAAATTTTATGCTGTGAAATATCGTCGAGTACAACTGTAATAGGTAATGTTATATTACGACTTTTTTTATTATGTGTAAATTTCATTCATACATTAAGTTTTAAATTTTTTTCCCCCCCGTAACATTCATTTTTGGCTCCGCCCCTGGCAACATTGTTTTATTGAAGAGTCTTTTAGTGGCAATTAGTTTTATAGCAATTAGTTTTTTCTTTGCTTTTGTCCTATCCCAGAAATAATCAGCGTGGCAGCTGTGACAAGGAAAAATCAGCGAGGAAGTGAAGATGGAAATACTGCCTGGGAAGAGGGAGAAGAAGCACAAGAAGAAGTCTAGAAAAGCTGAGAATAACAAGGCTGATGCTACAGAAATTCTTGAGGTTGAGAATCTCGGTAGGCGAACGGTGGTTGAGGGGAAACAGGGATTTGAGAAAGACGAAATTGCAGAAATAGAGCAGGGGGACAGGGAGACAGTGAAGAATAAAAATAAAGCTGAAAAGGGTACTAAGATGGAGGAAGAGAAGAGTACTAATGAGAACAAAGTGTTTGGAATGTGCAGTGAGGACCTCACTCCAGATGCACTGAAGAAAGTTGAAAAAAAGAGGAGGAAAATACAAAAGAACAAGAATGTAGATAAACAAGGCCCTGAGACAGAAAGTATAACCGAAATGAGGAGTGGTGAAGAAGTTGAAAAAGAAATAAAGAACAAGACAACGGGGAAAGACCATAAGGATGGCTATTCTGACAACAAGGGAAGAAAAAAAGATCGAAAAGAGATTGGAACATGTAGCGAGGTTCACGAAGTTAAGGTTGTAGGGGAGAAGAGAAGGAAAAGAGAGAAAAAACAGAGCAAGGATGATGGCAGTGGGCAACATGATACTCTCACTGAAGCTTCTGTAGATTCCAGAACTGATGATAATTCGACCACAAACAAGATATTGGATGGAAAGAAGAAAAGAGAAAATGTGGTCGAGACTTTCATCGAGGGACAAGATGGAGTTTTCATGCAGAAGCTTGAAAAGACGAAAAAGAGGAAGATCAGAAAAGAAGAGAATGAGAAGTCCACGATGCAGCAAGATATACTGACAGAAGAGACAGTAGATGCTGAGGGTGATGTTGTGGAGAAGAATGAAATGAAGAAGAAGAAGAAGAGGAAAAGGAAAGAAAACCCTACAGAGGATTTATCTGATATTGAGCAAGAAGGAAATGTTCATGGCATGGATAAAACACGGGATAATGAACTAGAAAATAGGAATAAAAGAAAGAAGAAAAAGCCTAAGTTAGTTGAAAATGGTTTGGATAGTACTAAAACCAAAAAAAGTAACAAGAAAGTGAGATTTTCCAGTCATGTTGAGGTTTTCCCGCCAACAGATGAATTAAATGCTGTGACAGGAAACGATGAGGAAGATAATTTGGTAAGAGGTAAGAGGTTCACACGTGAAGAAGATGAGATTGTGGAAGCAGCTGTCTTTAAGTATATAGAGGAACATGACTTAGGCGAAGAAGGTTTGAAGAAGGTTCTGAATAGTAAAAAGTACCCCGAAGTGAGAAACTGTTGGAAGGAGATAGGATCTTCCATTCCATATAGACCCCACATTGCTGTATATTGCCGTGCTCAAATTTTGTTTCGAAGGTCTGACACTCGTAAATGGACTGAAGAGGAGTACCAAATGGTTAGAGAGTGCCAGAAGGAGCACGGGAACCGGTGGAGGGCATTGGCTGATGAACTTGGAAAACATTATTGGCATGTCAAGGATGCTTGGCGCAGAATAAAATTACCCAATTCAAAAAAAGGACACTGGTCTCAAGAGGAGTATCAGGGTTTATTTGATTTAGTAAATGCTGATCTACAACAGAGAGTTTCCGAAGAGAAGAGATCAAAGCATGGCATGCTGCGGGATAATATTTGTTGGACGGCAATTAGTGATAAACTGTCTACTCGACATCAAGCAATTTGCTGTATGAAATGGTACCAGCAGTTAACATCACCTATGGTAGCTGAAGGTATATGGGCCGATGTTGATGACTATAGACTACTTAGTGTGCTTTTTAACTTGGATTCAACTTGCATAGAAGATGTCGATTGGGACAATCTGCTCGATGACAGATCTGGAGACCTGTGTCGAAAGCGTTGGAATCAAATGGTTCTTCACATTGGTAAACACGGGACCAAGTCTTTTGCCGAACAAGTTGAAGTATTGGCACAGCGTTATTGTCCACATCTACTTGAAGCAAGAGAGGCGTGGGATAATAAACCAAGGGTTCCGTGAGGGGCCGTTTGGCATTAGCTTATGCTTTGTATTTGCGTGTACGAGGTAAGGCCTAGACGTGCTTAGAGGTAATCTGTAGCTTTGTTATAACATTAATATTGTCTTGCAATTGAATATTTTGTCGTGAAAATTGATAATCTGGTGTGACTTGGCTTTTTCATGTGTTTCTACATTTTATGCAGGTATTTGATCAACTAGTTTTAGCTTCGAGATTAATGGACTTTCTATTTGATTGGATCGAAAGGCTTTTAGGTGACTTTTGATAGATTTTTTTTTTCGTTGAACTATTTATTGAGAAGCTAATGAATAATACAGGGTATTTCTTAAGAAATGAATCTTCTATTTTGATAGTCATAATTTTGGGAAGAAATGAATTGGAACCATTTTACCAAAGTAATGTTATTGTTCAAACATCGAATTCTAAGAATTCTTGATATACAGCTTTTAATTTCTGTTGTATGAATTAAGTCCTAAAATTATTTTTAAAAAGTGATTATATTAGCATCACTGTTTTTATTATTTGTGTTACATTTGATTGCAGTCAAGGTTATAAATCTTTACTCATATTTATGTTTTTAATTTTTTAAATGTATTTTTATCATTAACCTTTTGGTATTTAATATATCTCGTGGTTTTTGTCCAAAAGGTCCCTTTGTAGGGTGTAGAACGACTTATTTGTTCATCATATTTTTAAAAATTAATAAATATAGAAGTGAAACAAATATTTTTCCTAATTTCAACAATGCAAAAAAATATTTTGAGAGAGACCATCATCAAGAACATGATGTGCTCCTTCCTTTGTGAAGGTTTTCGCCCCTTTCTCTTAAACCTCTCTCTTTCCTCTTACCCTAACCCTTATCCCTAACCCTTACTTCTCTCTTGCGCGAGCTCGTCGGGGGGTGGGAGTTTTGGCTCCCACCACCCCCTATTTTCTTTCCCTGTTTTTTTTTTCCTTTTCCGTTTCTTTTGTTGGCTATGGTCTGATGAGTTTTCACAGGCTTGGCTTTGGGCAGTTCGGTGGTTGGACCGGTTGGTTTGGGCGGTTGTCTTCGCGGAGCTTTGGTCGGTGGGAGGGGGTGAGTCAAGTTCGGCTTGCGGTCTCGTGCGATCTGTGCTGGCGAAGGTTTATGCTGTCGGGAACGGCCTGTTGGGCCTTTTTGGCTGGATTCCAGTGATGGCCTTGGGGTGGTGTTGGGGGTGTTTGTGTGTGTGTTGATTTGTTAGTGTCGGTTTGGTGGTGTTTGCTTTTTTGTTGTTTTGCTGGTTGTTTGGTGTTTGGGTTGCTTAGTTTTTTTAGCTTGTGATATTTTAAATTGTTGGCTGTGATGTCTAGACAATGCCCGTTACTTCGTGTGCGGGGGGGCGTAAGTGCTGATTGCGTAGTTGGCTTTCAGTTGGGATTTTCTTGCACTGTAAAGTCACAGATGTTTTTAGACTTTGTGTGGCTGCGTCTGTGTTGGGTTGTGTATTGTTTTCGTGGTCTGGTTTGTATGTTGTTGTTGTGTCCTGTATAGTTGTGGTCTTGCTACGCTAGGATAGCACTTTATCTCTCTTAGGAGGGCTGTGTTGGAGGTTCTTCTCCTTGTATCCGTTTTGTGCGTTTTTAATGGATTGGCATTTTACATTAAAAAAAAAAAAAAAAAAAAAAAATTTAGGGACACAAGTGTAAATATGAACAAATGTTGATGACTTTAAATGCAATTAAAATATAGTGCAACTAATAAAAATTGTGATGTGATAAAAAAAAATCCAACTAACAAATGAGAAACTAAGAAAAGATCTATTGTTAGCTTATAATTAAGAAAAGTAAGCATACTTATGGCTCTTAATTACTAATTAGTATATAACAATAAGTGATAAAGATTAAAAAATCTTAATGACTCACTCTATCTACATTCAATTTTGACATTAGTACTCACTTTAAATAATAGTTATTAAATTTTAATTAATGAGGAAAGATAAAAATATAAGTAATGCTATTTGCAGTCGTAGTCTCTTACGTATATGTGATTTGATACATTAATGTAATAGTTTTTTTAGTCTCATGCATTAAATCATTAACCACCACATATATCAAGTAAGACGATTATGATAGTGAGCGACCACAATAACATTATTCTAAAAATATATTATATTTTGTATTACAGTTACAAAATTCTATTATTTAGTTAACATGTCAAAAATCCAGTAAGTGACACTTTCTTTCTTTTTTATATTAAAATAATAAGGCTTTAATCTAAACTCTGTCTGTTTGATAGTTGAAATTGATTTGTTGCTGCTATTCACTTGAGTCCAGGCGAGTCCTCTTCTCCTTGATGAATTGATTGTCACTTTGATATCGAGGAACTCTTAAGCGATATGCTAAAGAAATTTGGAGAAGAGAAGACTGGGAGCACATCAAGGATGCATTGGCAAGTGATCAGATTTTGGGCAGCAGAATAATTCTCACCACCACGGCCTCCGATGTGGCCTCTTCATCCTAATTTCTACATCACTTAAATGGTCTAGAAGTGCAAGAGGCCTGGACCCTTTTGGAAGAAGAGGAGGAGGAGAGAAGAAGATTTGGGGATTTTTTTGGTGGGGGATTGTGGTGTGGTGGAGATGGATATGGAGATGGTAGTTGGGATTTTTTTTTATAGGGGTAGTGGTTCTGGTGGTGCAGGTGGTGGTTGTGGTGCTGGGGTAGGGTTGGCTTGGGTTTATAAAAATTATTTTTGTTTTTGGTTTTGGTTTTGGTTTTGATTTTTAATTATTTGTTTGAGACTCATTTGTAATTTTTAAAAAATTCGAGCATACGGTTGCAATTAGTTCTTTATTGTTTTCTTTTTTATTTTTTATTTTATTTAAATAAGAGGGTAAATTTGTCATTTCACAGAGAAAATAGATGAAAATTGAGGAAAATGATATTTTCAGCAAGAAAACGGGGAAATATGGTGAAAATGCAAAAATTGAAACGTAGGGACGTTTTGTGCTAATAAGCCTTTAAAACCCCTACCTAGGCAGCTATCGCTTACCATTGACGTGGAAGCATGTTAATGGTTCTGATCACGCTCTTCTATTTGCATAATCCAGTTAAAATCGGACACGTCATAAAATATAAAATCCAGGAAGCATATTATTGGTTTTATCAAAATCCAAACAGGAACCTCCCTTCCATGATTATTACCTTGCGTTTATTTAAGGCTTGAGAATAATTAGAGGAAGACTCCGGAGAAAACGTGTCGTTGCTGCCATGGCTTACGTCGAAAGAGGTAATTTTATTTGTTAAATAATTTGAAAATATTTTGTTGAATTATTTCGATTGGGGTGTTGTTTTTCCTAATATCGCGTAGGATTTGGTACTAAGTATTTTGTTGATTTAACAATTTTTTTGATTGTCATGATCGTGAAATCCGGATGATGTATCTATATATTATAATTTTCGATTTGAAATGGGGTATATGAAATCCGTTTATAATTTTAGACAATTCATACATAATTTTAGTTTTTCCTTTGTGTGTGAGAGAGAGAGAGAGACAGATCAATCCTTTAATTGTGAATTGTCATAATCGTGAACTCCAGCTGATTGTGAATCAAATCAGTATATACGTATAATAATTGTTCGAGATGTAATGGGTTTCACGAATTCAGTTATGATCTTACATAATTCATCACAATCTTTTGGTTTTTCTTTTGCAAGCGTGTGCCTGGGATGTTTAAATGTAAACCTATTCAAATCTGCAAATTCAAGTAACCTTCTTATACAATAACAAAACTAAGCCTTGTTCATCATAATTTTAAGGTTGGCTATGCAAATCATTATCTATTGGAAGATTTAAAGCAACAATATACCCCGACGGAATGTGTTGTATAAGTGCATCTTGCTGTCATTGGTTTGACAAAGTTTTGTTGGTTGTCAACCTACAAAATACTTCTCTTTTACTTGGACTTGAGAAAGGCTATGGAATACATAGATACAGAAGGTTTTCCTGTACCAGCCTCTTCTACCTATGCCGCTTGTATGAAAAGTTGAAAATTTAGCTAAGAACCTGAAATGATATTAGAGGGAAAAGAACATCGAGCTCTTGAATCCTTCTTACGGCAAAAGATGACCTTATAATGTCGTTTTAGATCCATTTCAGGAAACTTGTAGGTCATATTTTTATATTAGTAAATCTGTCTTTTGTCATTCTTGGTCGTGCACTATTCTTCAGTTAGATTTATACTCACACACACAATGCAGCCTACTTATTATTTTTTAACTGCGGCTTCAATTGATTCTTTCATCTACTTGAGCTCTGGTATCTTAGGGTTCCTCTTTGGTAACATGTACTCATGCATAGGTGTCAGACGAAGATAATTTAATATATTGTCTTCATTGTGTTTCTCTGGTACCTTCTGCTTTCTGGATCATGAACAAACTATTCTACAATGAGTTGTGAGATGTTAAGTAGTTTTGCTATCTTCGTCTTTGGTATGTAATAAAAGATGATGAATTTGAAAAGTTGAACATGTTCTTTTGGTGTTAAATCCCTTACAAATTCAAGGGTAAGGCAGGCTGGTATAGCAAGTTAAAGTGCTTGTTTGGGAAAGCTTAAGATGTTGCTAAAAAAAATTGAGTTCAAAGTCAACCACATATTTCATGGGACCCACAACTGTTATCAAATTTTCAACCAAACATTTAATCAACTTTTATCAAAATTTGCTGAACTTTTATCAAAGCTTTGTTAGTGTTTTTGTAGTCGTGCTAGTTTATTTATTTTTGGAATATGGTTTGAGGGGCTGGAGTAGAAAGATGTAAAAGAGATCTTACATTAGTTATTAGGATACGGTGATACACCCTGGATGTCATCTTGAAATGGAATTGAAATGAATCTAGACTAAATCAAAATTATGTCTCCTAGGCTAACAGCAGTCATATAGATTAAAAAAGTCGAAGTATAAATTGAAGGAGTATAGTATTGGAATATTTTATTTTTCAATCAAACAACCTCGAAAGGAGATTGAATCACAAATATATTCACTACTCTGTCAATTTTCTTTTTAATACTTTCTCTAGGTGTTGTCAAATCTAAGAGATCAATATGGCGATTACGGACAATAACGGATTTCTTCTGGGCCATTGTTAACTTCATTGGCGTGTTCTTCACAACAATGTTTTCAGTAAGCTTGCAGTCTTCCCGCGTATAATTTCTGCCAATATGTGAATCTTGTGCTCATTTTCTCTCCTTCTGCAGATGGAAAAATCTGATGCTTACAGGAAAGTATCAGGCACCAGCAAGAAATGGGATGGTGGTGGCCCAGGAGGTCCTGGAGGCGGTCCATACGGTAGTGGTCCACGTGGGCCACCCCGTGGAATAGACAATGTTAGTGGGATTGACCACAGTAAGTCCCGTGCCTACCCCCCGAAAGAAAGAATATCTCATACTCGTCTTTTTCCTCTCTATCATTTGTTTTAACTGAATTCTTCACTCTTAATCGTCAGATTCTCTTCCTGCCTGTGGCTCTTGTTGTGGATGAGGTGCCAAAGGTATCAACACTACTACCATCACTGTTGGGAAATTTTCTTGAACCAGTATGAATTGTTGTGTAAAACTTCTATCTTATGGATGCAACTATCAACTATGTCCTAGCATGTAAATAAGTCCAGTTCTTATGGGAAATCACACTTCTTTACTAATAAGGAAGACAAATATTTTGTATATTACTCGTTTCCTGAAATATTTTATCGATATGAGTAATCAATCACACCAAGATTGAAACCCATATCATTATGAGGGTAATTCAACTTTTACAAGTGCCATTTGTCTCCCTGGCATTGGCTAGGACAGATGTGCCAAGTGTGTCTCACGGTTCATCATTATGGCATCCAGACAATAATCAACCACCCTGGGAGTGAGAAAGCCCAGATTCTTCTTTCGTGAGATCAGGTGTTAAAGTTCTCTATTTCGCGTTATCCGCTGACATATTCTCTTTAGTGAGATCCCTCGGCCCAAGAAGGCAGAATATATCAGAATTCCCAAAACAAATGAAATACCCAGTGTGATAATGGCTGTAACACCACGAGTTTGCATTTATATGATTATTGTTTGTGATGATAATGTTCTCCCTTATATTTGATTTTAACTGATTAGTTTGATGATATCGTGACTAATTATATTTTTACAGCGGGATGCACCTTGGACTCCCTAGAAGATATTGTGTCTATTAAATTTAATTTTAATAAGATGAAACAAACTCTAAAGTAAATTATAGATATATTTAATTTATTATATGTTTTCCACTAATTAAATTTTGTTTCAGTTAATTGACTTGATAATTAGATACCAATTAAATTATTTAGTACACTAATTAAGCCAAATGATGGGCATTTAGTTACCTAATTGGAAGCAATGTTACCCATAATTGATGCTTTAAAATTTGAATTAAAGATTCTTATGCACTTTTAAAGGGAATAGAATCATTGTTTACTCATTCATATCAAAATTAACGCGAAGGTTGCAGCCTCATATGTTACCTATATTCTTCTTTTCATTCATCTTCTTTGATTTGGGATTCCAACACAGGAGGTATTTTGATTTTTATTCTATTTTGTTATAATCTTATAAGCAAACTACTACTACTACTACTACTAATAGATAGTTAGATAACTCCATTATCGGTTAAGAGGAATTTTGACAATAAATTCCCCTTTTAAATCTCTATATGATTATGAGCACTCTGTATTTTATATGTTCGGCTCAAATGTCAATAACTACTTTATTTGAATAGAATAAGGATTGATTATCAAGAATGAATATTGTTGAGATTTTAAATGATTGATAATGACATACTATAATTGGTACGTAGACTTCGTGAATGACTAATGGCATCTCTACTTGTAATTCTAAAAGTAAATTGCTAAGGATTTCAGCTAAGCCTCCCTTCATTTCATGAGTACGTCATATAATTAAATACATAAATGTGTTATCTTAATTGTCCATATGTGAACATGATGTTTGATTTTTATGTTTTATGTAATTGATGTTTCATACATATTTATACATGTCAATGCATACATGAAGTTTCAAGAAATAAGAAGTTTCCAAATGTCAATGCATCAAGAAATGTTTTTTAAAGATATGTATCCCATGTTTTATTACGAGGTGTATGCCTATATCATGAAATGTGTGAGTGGAAAATGGGCATGGGGGATCGGCGCACCCGACTAATGTTCAATGATAATGTTAATGTTACCCCGCTTTACGATACTACCAGTAGGACTCGATCAGGTTTCAAATAATAACTGTCTACTGCATTCTGATTGGTTAGGTTTTTCAAATAATAACTGTCTACTGTCAAGTGAGCTTACGCCGACAATGTTAAGTTTTTAAAAAATGAAAGAAAAGTGGATACATAGTGAAAAAACACTTTATTTTAAAGAAATTCATATGCACATAATAAACATACATCATATTATTGATGTTTGTTTACTAAGTGTTAGCTCATCCTACGTTATCCCTCCTCATTTTCAAATGATGAAAGTAAGATGATTCGAGATGACGACTTGTGGTGACACAGACGCAATACTATCATATTTAAATGTTGATTTTTTTTAATTTTTTTTTGTAATTAAAGTTAACATTCGATTTAATTGCTCTACATTTGATTAAGAACAAATTGTTTTAAAATAATAAGTCATTGATATTTATTATGTCAAAGAAAAATTTAATAATTTTTCGCATTTATAATTTTAAAAGAAAGTTAAACGATAACATCTTCAAATCTAGGTATCTAAATTTGAGGGTATTTCAATGACATAAGCATATGCCATCCATGGGTGCTCACCTGTATCAATTCAGCCAGGAAAGTAGAAACAGTAGTCCAAATTGTAGCGTTTTTGCAACCGTACCAAAACTCTCATTAGAAAAGGAGATTGCAAGGGAAAGAGAGAATGAAAGATAGCCTAGCTAGTAAAAAATAATCTTAACTTCTCTTTAAAAAAAAAAAAAAGCAAAAACCCTTGTTTTTATGTGAAAACATTTGAGGAATCGACATATGTCCATGTTTGAGCCACATTAAAATTCTCATTCTCATTCTTTTACTCATTTTCAACCACACATTATTCAATAAAATAATATTTTCTATCATATCAATAAGTTTTCCTTCTTTTTCAATCACATATTCTTCCAAAATAATGTGGCTTAAACACACTATATAGAGGAATAGTCTTTGGTGACGTGAATTAGATTAGACTGGACATATTAATAAAGAAATTGAAAACTTGTATATCATACTGCCCAATAGAGTCTCATTTTGCACTCCCAAAGTAGAATCTCATGGCTTTATTTAGAGTTGGCAGTGCAGCCATAATACAATCAGGATGAATTAGTCTATGTTTGTTTCTCATTTTTTCAAAAATTTATTTTCAACCATATATTTATCTACAAAATAATTTTACACGTAGATCAAAAATATTTATTTTTTATTTTTTAACCATACATTTTTAAATCATTTTCAACCATACATTTATCTACAAAATAATTTTATACGTAAATTGAAAATATATTTTTTTATTTTTTAACCACACATTTTTAAAAAAATCACTATTCAACGACATTTCTTCCCTAAAATAAGCCTCAAACATGTGCTTAATGTTGGCAGTGAGAGTCCCAACAGGAATACATTTTGGACCATCCTGCTTGCATAGATCGGTACAAGATCTGTGCAAGCCAATGGGTCTTGGGGTGGGTGGGTTTATTAACATTTGGGGTGGGGGTGGGGGGGGGGGGTTATGAGAGGATTTGTTCAAGATCGGTGCAAACCGATCTGTTCAAATGGCATTTTCCATACATTTTAATGAGCTAAGAACTACCCGATCTAGACACAAATCCAAATATGCCGAGGGTCACTTTAGTTTTGTGGATTATTATTATTTTTAGTAGAAGGGATATTATTGAAGCAATTCCGATACGATTGACTAGGTTAACATATTCAATTGTACTATTATCAAATTAAATACAATTTGTATTAATTACTTTAGGGTAATTAACACATTACATCATTACCTTTCACTATTATTATGAAAAACATTATCATCTTTCATTTTTGACATTTTCACCCTTATTTTCAACTTTCGTTGCGCAAAAGCTCATTTTCATCAATTTTCTCAATTAAAAGCTGTGAATTGACAAATATACCATTTCATTTAAATAAAACAAAAACAAAAAGAAAGAACTAATTTCAATTACAGTCCCAAATGTTTTAAAAATTTGCAAACGAGCCCCAAATAAATTAGTAAAAGGGTCATTAGCACACAATATCCCTCTTTTACTATTATTGTTAAAATGTCCATTTTTTTTATTTACATTTTCACCATTAAATACACATTTGATTGAGCAAATTATTATTTCTGTTCATTTTCATCCAATTTCTCAATAAAAAACTGTGAAATGACGAATATACTCTCCTATTGAAATATAAAAAAAAAGTAAAAATAAAGAACTAATTGCAACTATAGTCCTTTTTTTGAAAAAAGTGCAAACGAATTCCAAATAAATTATTAAAAAATTAGAAATTAATTTTTTTTAAAAAAAAGTGCAAACGGGTGCCATATAAATTAATCAAAAAAATTAGAAATTAAAAAAAAATTATTTTCTTTAATTTTTTATTTTAAAAATAGTGTATATTCGTTATTTTATAGCTTTTATTGAGAAATTGGATGAGAATATATATAAATGTTGGTTTACGCAATTAAAAAGTTCTTTCTTTTTCTTTTTGTTATATTTAAACAGTATGGTATATTCATCATTTCACAACTTTTAATTAAGAAAATGATTGAAAAATGACGTTTTGCGCAATGAATGATGAAAATAAGGATGAAAATATCAAAAAATAAAAGGTAAGGACGTTATGTGCTAATTACCTATTATTTTATACTACCTCATAAACAATATCACTATATTATTTGGAATATCGATATTAAATAATAGACAACTTTGTAGAACTATATGTCTATCATTAACAGGTATAATGACCTATAATATAACCAAATAAAATAATATATACCAATTTTTCATTTTGTGAAATTCAAAACAAGTGGAGAGAGGAGGGCGGGGGAGTCAAAAATCAAGTATATAATGTATCGTTACTTCATGCCCTACCAAAGGCATCCAAACAACAAATGAAATATAAAACCACAATTTTACATTTCCTTATTCTGTTGTCTTTCCTCGTCAAATAGTCAAAAGAGTAAAACCACTTGACAACACAGAGTCTCACATGATCACATGAAGGATCATGCTACATGTACTGAATTTTTTACCGAATATTTTACCTACTACTCACAATGGTGGTGGAGACCACATTGTCGAAATTTTTAAATACATGCGGGCTCCGTGCATTATGTGAGAGGGGGTAATCCATTATGTAAGAATCATTATGTACAAATGGATTAACCCTCACAAATGAATTGCTCTGACTCTCAAGCACTTTTTATGTGTGTTTTGGTAATAGGGTCCAACCACATCCCGACATCCGTG